CCTACTGTTCGCTTGACTCAATTATCTATCTCTTCAATATATCTGCATATCTCTATATTGCTGGCTTTATTTGCCAGGCTTATATATGTACTAAAAAAGAGAGCGCCTGGCAAACACTCAGAAATTCGCGGGGTTCCTCGATAAGTCATGATCCTTCTAGAAACTCCAGCGAGCATGCTCCCAGCATCGCATGACTTCCGCTGTCGTAACAATACATTTTATCAACTGAATGTTTTTCATCACAACACAAATGTTATCAGTTATATATTCTCTGTAACTCATATTTTGAAATACTGCAAGATTTTGTCGTATTAGTGTCTTTAACTCAGATTTCTCTGTAAATTGTCTGTGTTATTGAAGACGGGTGTAAAGTCACAGTTTTGAAGTAAAACTTTTATAAAATCATGTTTTAAACTTGGTAAACTGTGGAGACAATATGTATTTGTTTTCTACTTTAGTCATGATACTAGTTATCTTTATTAACTTTTTGATTTCAGAACATATTTATGAAGATTAAAACTGGTCAACCTGATGACGTTATTTCTGAGTTCAGTGAGAGTGATGTTGGTGAACTAGATAGTTCAAAAGATGATGTTTTGAGTGTGAAAAAAGAAAACGAATCTGAAGATGATTTTCATCAACTTGGCTCTGAGTTAGAAAGTACACTTGGTAAATTTAAATATCTATGAAAGAGTTCTTACATTGATACTACTGTTTAGACGAGATAGTGTTTGAAAAGAGATAGTTGTTTCATTTGAAGTATGTAAATAGAGTTGTGACAGTTAAATATTATTCCTTATCACTGTCATGGTTAGCAGTTTATATGATTATAAAAATACAGTAACATGTACCTATACTGGACTATCGGTGTAATAAAAATACAGTAACATATACTTATACTGGACTATCAATGTAATAAAAATACAGTAACATGTACCTATACTGGACTATCAGTGTGATAAAAATACAGTAACATGTACCTGTACTGGACTATCAGTGTAATAAAAATACAGTAACATATACTTGACTATCAATGTAATAAAAATACAGTAACATGTACATATACTGGACTATCAGTGTAATAAAAATACAGTAACATATACTTATACTGGACTATCAATGTAATAAAAATACAGTAACATGTACCTATACTGGACTATCAGTGTAATAAAAATACAGTAACATGTACCTATACTGGACTATCAATGCAATAAAACTACAGTAACACATACCTATACAGGACTATCAATATCACTATTAAAAGAGCTTATAACATTGTACTATAATGATACAAATCCTGTGTGACACATGTAACTGGCCAAGGTACAGTAAATCTACTGATTATTTACCATTGTTAATTCACCGATAACTTTTATGATGAGAATAATTATACAGGTCATATGTACGTGACACAAGTATAGGTAAATGTTACATTGTTGTTGTATTCATAGTCAGTTATAAGCATACATGCTACTTTTTTGTTATATTAATAGCCAATTATAAGCATACATTTTACATTGTTCTTATATTAATAATAACTTATAAGAGTACATGTTTACTTTGTTAATGCATTCAGTCTGTTATAGGTAAATTTGCTTTGTTACATTCATACTCCAGTATAGAGACACAATAATATATTCTTATATTAATACTCATGATATCTTGTTGTTACATTCATAGTCCAGTATAGGTACATGTTTCTTTGTTCATACATTTATAGTCATGTGTAAAGATATGTTACTGTATTCTTACACTCATTTTTCAGTGTAGGTACATGTTTAATTTTTCTTTACATTCCTGGTCCAGTGTAAATATTTGTTACATTGTTCATAATGTTTATATTTCAGTGCAGGTACATATTCGTACATTCATAGTTCAGTATAGGTATGGTATTTTGTTCTTACATTCATAGTGGAGTGTAAGTATTTCTTACATTGTTCATACATTTATAGGACAGAGTAGGTAAATGTTACATACATTCTTTGTCTAGAATAGGTGCTTGTTACAGAGTTCTTATATTCACAGTCCAATATAGATACATGTTGCGTTTTTCATTCATTCATAGTACAATATAGATACATGTTGCGTTTTTCATTCATTCATAGTACAATATAGATACATGTTACGTTCTTCATACATTCATAGTACAATATAGATATATGTTACATGGTTTTTACCCTTTTATTTTTGTAATGATTTTAATCCCAAATAGTTTTGGGATCAGCCAGTAATTTTTAGAAACCAAGAATTTTTACACCCCGGTAACTAGCCCAGATAGCAACCATATAGGATGAGCATGTTTCGACTGGGATTCTAAGTTGTGACCTCAAATCATGAGGCGAGCACTCTAACTACCAGGCTGTACATTGTTCTCGTAATCATATTCTAGTAAAGTTTACATATTTACTCTGTTCTTACATTCATAGTCCAGAATAGGTACATTTTTACACTGTTGTTACATACAGGGTTCAGTGTAGGTACTTGTTACACTATTCTTACATTAATATTCCAGTGTAGGTACTTGTTACACTATTCTTACATTCATAGTCCAGTATAGGTACATTTTTACACTGTTGTTACATACAGGGTTCAGTGTAGGTACTTGTTACACTATTCTTACATTCATAGTCGAGAATAGGTACATGTTACTTTGGTTATACATTAATATTCCAGTGTAGGTACTTGTTACACTATTCTTACATTCATAGTCCAGTATAGGTACATTTTTACACTGTTGTTACATACAGGGTTCAGTGTA